TGATTTTGTTGATATGTGACTTACAAAAACATTTTTACTTTTTAATTTAAAAATAATATCGTTTGGTTAAACCAAATTTTAATTAGAACACAATTTTCAAATTAGAATACAATTTTTCAATTAAAAAGAAAGAAAGTTTTTATAACTCGCAAATTAATGGTTATTTATAGCAAACATTTCTTTCAGTGTGTATCTAGCTAATAGATACTTCAGCAAAAAATCGTTCTTTTCGTGCGCGTTATTCCTTCAAAATCAATCAGCCAGAATCATGCAAAACGGATAGAATAACAATTTAGAAAGGACATTGTGAAACAACGACGGTAATAATTCCACGTGATGTCATTTACGTCACAAAAATACAGAATGTAATTCATCACGAAGAACGATGCAAGAACGTAACCGCGATATTTTTGCAGCGAACTTTTCAAAATTGAATTGCTCGTGCGCGCGCTGTGTCGCATCCCGATATGATTCTCGTTTCATTCTTTTTTTACTTTTTACGAGACAGGACTTGGAGTAATGAAGGATATATTTACGGCAAACTTTAGCGCGGTCACAGTCACGCTGTAGCGTGATTTACCATCACTCTTATTTTTTGAACGTTACACTTTTGTGCTAGGCCTCTCCTTTGTATATTTTACGCGTATTAAATTTATACTCTCTCTACCCTCTTATCGTTACTTTTTATCATCATCGTATTGCACTGTTCGGCGCCCGTTTAGTACTGTAGTTTATCGTAACGCGATCTTTTTGTTCATTTAACCGCAAGTGGACCAAAGACTCATGCATCCTGTCGCGGAAATCCGAATTCGCCACCAAGCCGCGTACGAGCATGTCGTCAGTTGGTTAACCCGCAATATCCTAACTTCAGCTCGTATATGGTCGCCCTATTTGGCTATCAAATAATTCGTGTCCTATTGTAAACACCGATTGTAACCGCGGTATAATATTGTTCCCTTCTATTGTCTTAATTCCTCTATGATGTATGTAAAATGATTCATAAAGTACAACTTGATGTATGATTTGATTTTCTAAAAAACTTAGAGGTGATGAAAGAAAAATTTAGCGACAAAAAAAACGACGCTACTCTCTACTTGAACTGAAATCTCTCTACGCTGTAAGAGGATGAAAATGCAGCCTTTTTTTGAATAAAATTTCATGCTTTTTGAAGAAGTGAAATTCATTCTTCTAAAAAAATAGTCGTATTTTCACTCTTTTGGAATGAGATTTCATTCCAAGAAATTTAGAGAGTTGGATAAAATAATTAAGATAATAGAAATGTTTGATTAAGGCCACGTTTGGAAATATTACTCGAGTGCCTTCGTATTACTTTATTCGAGATTTTATCTTTGTTCATCAAATTTTAAAGCCACTGGTAATGGGTGATATTTCTAAAAGCCTACAATAATAATGTCAAACATATAATATCTTAAAATAAATTAAAGCCATTTGTATCTTCAATTATTCAAATTACGAAGTTTTGCATTTAATCTATGATCGGTATCGTCATAAAAAAAAAGGATAATTATTTTTAATATAAAAAATGAAGTGAAATCATAAATAGAGAATAAAAACTGAAAAAAGTACGAGAATTTTTAGCTTAAAGTCAAATTCTTAGAAAATCTCACATACAGGAATCATCGCGTTATTTCCATTGCTATTACGTACATATGTATCCCGTTTTCACGCGATAAAATCAAACTCGTGATGCCTCGATTAGCACATTTCGACATGCGAAACGTATAAATCGCGGATATAGTTAGCGCTCGCTGTTTAGCGATTCGTTATTACGAAATATAACCGCGCTCTGTCGGGAGCAAATCATTTAGAAATTTAATGTCATGAATGTTAAGTAACGTCCCTCGTTTGCGTCGCTCGTTAATGTACCAGGGGAGAGCAGGTAATTCGGTAAGCATAAATTTTAGAGCTGCCGTTCCGCATTCGCTGCTCCTTTCAGTCAATATTTCAATCAAAGTCACATCGTCATTCTTATTCACGCTCTTGCTTTTATTTAATTTGCCATTTTCACATTAAACAAATTTACTCTTTTATAGCAATTGAAAAGAACCGAATGAAATGATGTAACGCTATTTAATTAATTCTATGATAATTATTTCGGGATATGATGGCTGCTATTTTTATTTGTATTACTTGTTTAGAATTAAACAAAATTTTATTATACAAAGTGTATTTGCGTGATAGAAATATTTTTAATATGCTTCTAAGATATTATTATATTTATATAATCTTTCCAAAAGTTTTTGATATAATAATAATAAAATCTTTAATACTATATGAGGAGAATGATTTTGCTGAAGTATTTGAAACTTTAGCTATAAATACAGATTTGAAAATAAATATGTTGGATCATCAAATAATTACATAGAAAATTTAAGCAGAATTAAGATGAATAATGCTGCAAAAAGTTTTGACATTCTAATAATCATGTCTAACGAGCAATCTATATTATTTTGATAATCCAACAAATTATTTTCAGATCTGTATCTAGCTAAATATTTCAGAAAAATCGTTCTTTCCGTGTGTAAATGTTAAATTTTTTAATTGCTATAGTTCGATTAGAATATTTAGATAGTATTCTATTTAGACAGAAGGCGAGCAATAAAGTCATTTTAACAGATTATAGATTATAACTGTGATACTGGCGTTTATGAATTAAACCCACGTTTCCGATATTACTGTGATATTGTATGATACGTTATTTGTATGAGCAACTTCATAATACGACCCTATCTTCCCTTCTGTTGTAACATCGACCCCCCGATAATTCTAAAATTTATGTCTGAATATATTCCTGATAGCCTAGGAATGAAAAGCGATGCATCAAGAGAAAATTTTCACAAAATGTCCTTAAAGATTTGTAATCCTTATTTAAGACAAATATTTTCCTAAATCTTTATAGATTGTAAAGTAGATTAGTAATTGTGGTATACAGTTTAAATGACAATAATTCGAATAATTATATGTTTTGCGATTTTCTTGATTCTAGGTATCATAGAGATAAATTCTTTCGAATGATGTTAGTTGTACACTTTTGTGGACTCGAACGTCGTTGTTAATGCCAAATGATTTAGTGTCAAATATTTAGTAATGCGCATCATTTAGCTTAATGTATACGCGAGGCTAAACGTTGGACGAAAGCGCTCTTGAACGTGACATCTTTTCACATGCTTTCAAGGCGATGACAAACGCCTTCTGCTTTGTCGCACGCCATCCGATGGAGAAAAGTTATGCATTTGCAACATCACAAACGAGATCTTGATGGTGCAGGCTGCCAACAACAAAACATGAGGAAGTGACATTGTAAAAGTGAATTGAAAGCTCATGCATTTACGTAAAAAAATATATCTCCTAAAGAACGAGATTCTTCATTATAAATTCTTTATCTTATAATTTTTCTACGACGAATTTTAAGAAAAACCATATCTTTAAAAGCTTGTCTCAACCGTGCGAAGCCAATCGACATACTGACTTCTTCTTCTACCTTTATAAAAAAAAGAAGGAACTAATATGGCGATCAACATGATTAGCTTCAATGAGAACATGCCTTGAAATTACTAAAACGCCGGAGTCATTTCAGAGCATTTAATTTACATTTCCTTGGTTTAATATAATATTTCTTCTTATTTACACGAATCTTTATGAAAGTTCATTTATTTCGCCAATAAATAAAAAAATCAAAAAATCGCGTTTGACATTTATCACTTCGTTAGGTCAGAATGGATTAAAACAGACGATAGTGATTCTCGCGAATCAAAATGGAAAATCAGACTCCGACTATGTAAATCCGTGAATTATACGCCGGGGCTGATCGTATCGAATGCACAGATAGTTTCGTAATAGATTTGTAACTCCTAGTTGCGCTTTCGTCTGGCCCGCGGTTGTTCGATCGACCGCCCTTGGTAATTCTACGATTAATGCGTTCAATCCGTCCCGCATTACACGCACGCTATCGCAGCACGCGACGATTTGTGCGTGGAGAACAGCGGTTTCCCGATTTTCTATCGCAAACGCGCGAATGGTTACCGAATTGTTACCGTTGCAGATGTTAGTAATATCTGCAAGCATCAATAATTTTCGACGTTTATATTCGTCCCACGTTTACAAAATATTTTTCACAATATTTCTACTTCGATTGCTAGCTCCTTTATCATCATGAAATCACACTGTGAGAAAATTTAAGTTAAAACTTTGTATTTTAAAAAAACGCATGATATATGGCTTATCGCGCAAAAAAAAAACATAATTATAATCATTAGTATTTGTTGTTAATTTATTGTTACATAAGCAGAGTTTCTAATGTATATTTCAATCTTTTTCATCAAACGATAGTTATTAGAATTACGAATTGAATTAAGTATAAACATTATAAATTTATTTCCTTGGCTCCAAAAATAAATCACAAATTGATTAAAATTGCCGATATGTAAGCTGACTTAGAATTACAAATGCTTTCTCATAAGATTTTCATGAGTAACGATTTTGAATGTTCTATCGACAGTTCCACAAACAACTTGATATAAAATAATATGAAAAGTCATCTTTACGTCATATTTATCTTCTCGAAATTCAATTAATAATTAAAGATTCTTTCCAAAAATCTAGCGGACAATATTAAATATCCAGAATCTATTAATAGGAGAGAAAGATATATATTTACAAACGCGATATACATATATATTCGTAATTTTAAATACTGTAACCAGTCCAACAGCAAACTGAACTGAAAGTTCTTTACATTCTTTCTTATTCTCTCTCAAGAAGATATAATAGACATGTCAGAGAACGTTAAAGCTTTGAAAGAAAATGTTAAAATTATTCAAATCTAATGTTCAAATAAATTTTTTTTCTTCATATTTAGTATTCACCTGGTTGGAACGACACGGATTGGAACCAGAAAGACAATTCTTGATTAATTATTCATGCGACCGCGTCACCTGCATTTAAGTTGTCAAACTTAGGAAGACATGAGTAGTACGCACCCGAAGACGCAGTGAAACCGGCGTGCATGGCGTACCGCGGCGCAGCCATGTGCTGGGGATGTGGAGTCGGTGGTAGGGTCGCATGTGATGGCGGTACCGATGCCTGGGGATGGACCGTCGCCGTCGGTCTCGAGAGTATCGTGTCGATGCCGTGCGGATTGCTACCGACGGAGGTGATGGAGGTTGCCGGGCTGTGCTTGCCGCTGCCAGTAGGCGACGATTGGCCCTGCGTGATGGTGGATAATGGCACCGTGATACGCGGCAACTGGATGCCCCCTTGTTGCTGCTGGTGTGACGGATGATGCTGCTGCTGGTGCGACTGCTGCTGCTGTTGCTGCTGCTGCTGCTGTTGTTGTTGATGCTGTTGCTGCTGTTGCTGCTGTTGATGCTGATGACTCCTCTCTGCCATAGAATGCAGCGCTGCCAATGGCTGGCTACCGAGCATGCCACCCCCGGCGGCGCTCAGATTGAGAAACTGCAAAACATGGGGCGCGGCCGCCGCGTGGAAGTCGTGGAGCCAGGGCGGCCGTGGGGGTGGTGGCGAATGGCTCGAGGCGGGCGGCGGCGAGCACGAGCCCAGCGAGGAACCTGCGGACGAGCTGCGGTCGCCCTGGTCCAGGTGATGGTTATTGTTGCGTCGGTGCGCGTCGCTGAGCGACGATGACATGTTCTCAGTGATCTCGAGTCCGCCGCCCTCCGGCGTGGAGCGCGATGGCGGGTCCGGGCACGGGTCTCCGCTGTCGGCGCAGGCCTTGCCGCTGGTCAGAGAACACACCATCTCGCACCACGCATAGTTCGGTAGTGAGCGAAAAATCTTAGCCGGTGCTTAGCTACGCGCTGAATTGAGGCGTGTGGCCGCCTCGGAACCGCGGAGTCCTCGCGCGTGAGAGGATTCCCGAGGACCACCCGCCGTACCGAGGAGGAAGTCCGGCGATACGCCGATCAGTCCTTCGTACGGAGGTATATCGCGGTGACGGTTGTCTCACTTGTCGCGTTTCGCTGATTAAACAACGACGCCGAAGCACCGAAGACACAGGACACGTTTGACACTCAATCGCGATCGCGACCGCAAGTGACACTGTTCTCGAAGGGCAAGGATGTTCTGTCGCTTTTACCTTTTCCGTTTTGTTCCTTCCGTTTCATCGGTGTCTCATCCAGGTCAATCACTAATCCCCATGGTTCCCCGCGGATCGCACGGCGCGTCGTCTGCGCGCGACAGGCTGCCGATGACACGTTCCGCGAGTGGCGATCGATGAGTGGAGAGCAGTAATCACCGTACACCCTCAACAGCCACCGGTTCGCTGATTTCGCGTGATGACATGGAGAACGAACGATCAAGGAACGATCAGTCACGGACTGTTCCGGTCTGAGATGATCACCGACGGGTGGTCGACACGCGCGATCAGGAAGTCGTCGTCCGTGCCGCGACGGTACGGGGTCCTCGCCGAGTGACTCGCCGCGTCGCTAAATGGTATGCGAGTAGGGCGCGCGCTCTCTCTCCGGCGGGAGATCGAGTCTCTCTCCGTGCCTTCGTCCTTGCCCTCGTCCTCGCGCGCGCGTTCCGGAAACCGACACGGCGGAGGGAGCGATAGGTCGGCCCTCGACGCGAGTCGATTGGCGTATCGTCCGTGGGTCGTTTAAGTACTCGGGGGCGGTACCGTCATCGGATTGGTCGGCCTGGTGGTTTTCCACCGGAAGGAGAGGTGTTCCGGGCGGGGCCTCTCAATCTCGCGTTAGCTTCTTGTTAAGCGTCTTTCATTGTGTGTTTAAATTCGTAATTTATGATCCCGACTGAATAAAACAAGAACTTGCTGGTTCACTCGCTCGTCCGTTCGCTCGCTCGTACGTTCGCTGGCTGGCAGGCCGCGCGGCGGGTCGGGGTGCACCGTGGGGCGCGCGGGTGGGTGGTGGAGCTGGCTGGTTGGCTGGTTGGTTGGTTGGCTGACTGAGCCTCTTTGGCTCTGAGACTGGCCCTCTAGTTTGCTCGACGACTGGGCACCTCTGCACGACTACGATGACACTACTGTCTCGATAACTCGCTTCCTTCCTTCCTTCCATCGTTCCTTCCGCTACCTAACTGTCTCCTACCGTATCTCTTCCCACTTTACCTTCTCGTACTATTTAGCTCTATCCTTCCCGCCCACTCGATTCTTGTCTACCACCTACCTACCCTTCGGTCTTTCAGCCAGTTCGAGTACGCGTAGACAGAGCAAATCGAGTTATTCGTTGCCGATGGTCCATTTGGTCTGTTCCTCCTATTCATCGTACGTATGCCGATGCACGTGTCAACGAGAATTCGGTTACTTCATCCCGATGAACCATTGCCACGTCGCTCTCAGTGCAGCGCGCGGTTGACGTAACTAATGTCGGATGAACTCGCAGGCTTTCTCTGACTCTGGCAGCCGACCAATGTAATGTCGACCGTGCTTCGTCGCTCAGTTCCGCTCTCGTCTATTGGATCCACGTTTTAGACTCGCCTTCGACCGAACGGATAATTTACGGCGGCTGACTGCACTTCGCGCTCCGGTCATTAAGCGTCGCATAGGCGGGGTGTGGTATTCGCCCGAGAAGGAGTTCCAGTTAGACGTGTGCGACCGTATAATCCTTAAACGAATTTCTCGCAAATTTCTTCTGTTCACCGTATGTGAGCTAAATATTCTCAACTTGGAGCAGGTTTCTTTCGATTCGAAATTTTTTTATCTTCACGTTTTAAACGTAGATTTTTCTGGTCTCTACTAAACGGTTTTATAAATAAAGATAAAATTTTGCTGAATGAAATAGTAATGTTTTAGTTATAGTTACGATATCTAACTTGTAATATTCGTCTTTCTACGAAAAATTATTATTGTGGTAAAAAATTATAACGAGTGTGAAATTCAATTTCACGATTGTGAAAAATCATGCAGAAAAAATCATACAGATGCGTTTTGAACGACAGTGTACGTTTCGAACGCAGTATCTGCATCATTAAATGCGAGCGTACCGAGATCGATCGTTTAAGAGTAATTATGCTAATGCGGCCCGATTATGATGAAGGTTCGAAATAAGCTTACAGGGTATCATCATTACCACGTTCAAATACGTGCGTATTATTAATAATGAAACAATAATGGATATTATTAAAGCAGCATGACGCAATAATAGCCGGCTAGCAGCGCAGTTGCCAATATTTGTTGCACCGTATTAATCACCAGTCGCATTAATATTGCACTTGTGCACGTAGAAGGCTTTTGCAATCCGTTTCGCGCTACAAATTGTTGCCTAATTCGCAAGAAAGCTTTTCGAACGCTTCTCATAATTTCACAACTAGGACTATTTGGAACAGATTGAACATTTCTATTATACATATATGGCAGACGTTCGATAATGATTTTTTTCGCAAAGTATGCATTTTCCTTATATCCTCTATTTAATTATTATGTCGATTCTTACATTTGGCGAAGGGCAACGGCATAAAACGGGAAAAGGTTTCTCGGGCCAGTATTCTCCCGGCGCGAAGCGACCGAGCGAGATTTAAATCTATTTTATTTGACCCCGAAGGATCAGTCCTTTTTCATGGAGAGGCGACTTCTTTTCGAGGGCCATCAAACGAGATAGACGAACTCTCTGCCTCTTTCCGTTTTTCGGCCTTGCGTTTCCATGGATGTTCTTCACAAATTATGTAAAACATGACGGGCAGCCAACGACAAATATTGATTCCCATCGCTAGATGTTTTACGGCCTGTATTATTTTCAAGGATAGCAATTGTTCTGTCCGACGGAAGGTTTTCCATTTGCGCGAATTTTTCGCGAGCCAAAAATTCTACTCGAAACGATTTCTCCTGTTATGCGAGTCATACGTAACAGAAAATGAAAGAAATTATTTTTTTAACAAATCCTATGCATCCTGTGCAAATAAGTATCCGACGTTGAAATGGAATTTTTTTTGAAATTGTGGAGTCTTTGAATTGTAAATCTCATACGATATCTTTACGTTATTTTTATTATCTGCTTATCTTATTGTTTCTAATTATATACTTTTGTAATACCATCTTGTTACGTTTCAACTGAATTTAATGATTACTTATACATATGGCAATTTTTTTATAACGTCTTTTGTATTTTTTTTATGCAATCTTTATTTGACATTAGCTGGGATCTTTTTTTCCAAATTATCGATTATTTTATGTGCCATTCTGTTATTAAGTGAACTAATGTTTGATGTGTCGATATCCGGCGCGAATCGAGTGGCAATAAAACGTTCTTATTTAAACACCGTTTCGCAGGATTATATCGAATAATTTGTTAGCTCCGATAAGCGCAGTAGAACACGCCATATGCCGCACGTGATCGCGAAATATTAAATCCTAGTTGTACCACGTATCATTGCCCTCGCGTTGCCACGGCAAGCTTATCTGTCAAATATACCTCGCTTTAATAAACCGTGCAATACGAAATATCACGTGAAAGAAATTCGTTATTCTCAGCAAATAAAAATGGCTCGCTGCTACTCTCTTATTCTTACAATTTTTATTACATTGATTTGCGTCTATAAATATATTTGTGAGTAATTTCGAAGGCGGTTCAGGCGGACCAAATAGTCGTGAATACTTCTTGACACCTCGCATAATCGCTTTGAGATACAACGCGTGCTCGGGACATAAATTTGTCGTTAAAAAACTACGCCCATTATTCGGTTCCCTTCCTGCAGAAAGTCGCTATACAAATTCGACTACTTGTATTCTCGGAGTCCCACCCCTTAACCCTCCCTATCGGCGACAGCCTCTTCCCTAAACCCTCTCTGATAGACCCCCTCCCTCCCTCTCTCGTTCTTTCTTTCTCTCTTTCTCTTTCTCTTTTGTTGTCCCTTCGGTTTGGGGTGGAATTATTATGCAGAGAGGCCAAATTGTCCCATAAAATCGTGCAAATTACACATCCCGATGCGTCTGAGTTTCATCGTAGTGATTAACTGACAATAATGGTGAAATTCGGCGATTCGACGCCGCCGATTAATCGGGTATTTACCGGCGCAGGACCGCCTGCAGAAGACTCTTTGTGATCGACGTCGTTTTAGGGTTTTACGCGTGTATCAGCTGTCGTAGCCGCTTTACCGCGTGACGATGGGTTAATTTATCGGAAGATTAGCTTCAATTAAGGACGAAAGGGAACGCAAATATTTATTTAATCGTGGCTGATCGCTCGGAAAAAGAACGTAGTCTCGAAATTCAAATTCCTGAACAAATCATAAAATTCTGATCATCTTTATATTATTAGTTTAAATATAAATTATATAAAGGAAGCACAAAAACATTCTAAAAAAATAAAATCATGTTAGTTATTTTACTCATTTCTTTTTAATGTAGTGAAAAAAATCAGATTTTTTTATTTGCCAAAATATTTTCATCAAGTATCAATTCAATCGAAATTTTTATTCGTCCGATTGAAAAACGTCTTGGAGTCAAGACTTGACATTCGCCTCTTACGTACATTGTGCTTCCTCATCGGGACATAAACGTGGAATTAGCAGTCCATTCGTACGCCCGAGTAGCACAGCTACTGAAAATCTTCATCTACACGCTGAAGGAACACGCAAAACTCCCCTGTTATTCCGCGTGTCGCCAGTATAGCTAATTCGTATTCGCAGCACGACCTCACGTCGCATGATCACGCCGTATGGATTCAAATCCGAAACGCATCGAAAGTTCGCGATGTCGTTTTGCCGCCGCATAACTCACAGAGGACATGAAACTTTTTCGGTACCCCTCGGCTCGATAATACGTTTCTGTCAAAGTTCGAAACAAGTCGCTCGGCAAAGGGCGGCCAGTGAGACACGATCGCCGTCAAACGTGATCTTTTTTCCTCCTCAATCGATTCGCGATTATTATTTCGCGAATCGCTTTCAAATGGTAGTTTGAGAAGCGTAAGAAGTGTTTATTTTTAATCCGTTGCTGCATCTACGTGCGTATAGTGCTGCGAATTTAATGCGATGTGTGGAACAGATCCAAAGTGGCGTTTTGAAAAAGAAAGAAGGGAAAAGACACAATGTTAAATTTATAATGACAATGTCAAATAATACCCAAGTTAAGTTATTTTTAATAAAATTTATAGGTTCATAAATCGTTTATTATTATTTATAGGTTGCCACTATTCCTATTTAATATGATGTTAATTTAACTGAAACAATTATGGAGTTAAAAAACAATTTAATTTAAAATATATAGACATTAAACTTGACTTAGATTTAGTTTATGATTTACTAAGTACATATATATATATATATATATATACATTAATATGGACTTTTAAATTACAGAAATGGATTGATTTGCATTTTAACGTGAAAGTTAAAAATAACAATATTTAATAAGGGTTCAA